GAGCCACAATCAGCTCCAGGTCTTGTTTTTGCTGACTGTATAGAACTTCTCCATCTTTGGCTGCAGAGAATATAATCAATCTGATTTCAGTATTGTCCATCTGGTGATGTCCATGTGCAGAGTCGCCTCTTGTGTTGTTGGAAAAGAGTGTTTGTGATGACCAGCTTGTTCTATTTATTTATTTATTCATTCGATTTTTACCCCGCCCCTCTAGACAACGTCTACTTGGGGCGGCTTACATAGTTCTCTTGACAAAACTCTATTAGCCTTTGCCCTGCTTCATTTTGAACTCCAAGGCCAAACTTAACCCGTTGTTCCTTTTATCTCTTGACTCCCTACTTTAGCATTCCAGTCCCCTATAATGACAAGAACATCTTTCTTTGGTGTCAGTTCCAGAAGGTGTTGTAAGTCTTCACAGAATTGGTCAATTTCAGCCTCTTCAGCATCAGTGGTTGGTGCATAAACCTGGATTACTGTGATGTTGAAAAGTCTGCCTTGGGTTCATATTGAAATCATTCTGTCATTTTTGAGATTGTATTCTAGTACAGCTTTTCCCACTCTTTTATTGACTATGAGGGCTACTCCATTTCTTCTACGGGATTCTTGTCCACAGTAGAAGATATGATAATTTTCTGAATTCAACTTGCCCATTTCCATCTATTTTAGTTCACTGACGCCCAAGATGTCAATGTTTATTCTTGCCATCCCCTGTTTGACCACATCCAAGTTACCAAGGTTCATAGATCTTACATTCCAGGTTCCTATGCAGTTTTTTTTTTCTTTTCAGCATCGGACTTTCCTTTCACTTCCAGGCATGTCTGCAGCTGAACGTCCCTTCGGCTTTGGCCCAACCACTTCATTCGCTCTGGAGCTACTTATATTTGTCCTCCACTCTTCCTCAGTAGCATGTTGGACGCCTTCTGACCTGAGGGGCTTATCTTCCAGTGTCATATCTTTTAGCCTTTTGTTTCTGTTCATGGGGTTTTCTTGGCAAAGATACTGGAGTGGCTTGCCAGTTCCTGCTCCAGGTGGGTCGCGTTTAGGCAGAACTCTCCACTATGACCTGTATGTCTTGGGTGTCCCTGCACGGCATAGCCCATAGCTTCTCTGAATTACTCAAGCCCCTTTGGCACAACAAGGCAGCAATCCGTGATGGAAGCAATCCATCAAGTATATACACCACGTGATGACTATAATTACCTAATTCTCTTGCTCAGTTTTGTAACAAGCCCCATTCTGACCCATAGTAAGTTGTAAGTAGAATAGGCCCATTTGCATCAGTGGAACATAAGGAGGAGATGACTCACCAAATCTTCACTGATTCAGTGGGCCTACTCTGGTACAGTAAGCAACAGAATTTCATCCACTGATTGCTGAGTAGAAGTATCAGTAAGATTCATGATTTGATCCTTGGTTTTTACTGTATTTTGCTTGTTGATGTTTCTTGGTTTTAATAATAATAGGATGAATTACTTGGGGGTATCCATTGTGTTACTTTCAGGCAAATATAATCTTAGATTTGCAAACAGTATTTGTTTGGATTATTTGAGGTTTGTGATTTCCTGTCTCTTTGCAGGGAAGTTCAGGAGATTATTTTGGAGCCTTTTTCTATGATAAAGCTTTCACCAAGCATGCATTTTAATGTTTACAACTATTGATGCATTATTTGGGTATGCAAGCCCCACTCTGACCCATGGTCTGCTGCTATAGGTAGCTGCCGGTATCACTGTTCAGTCCTTTTCTGAGCAATATGTATCTTCTTTCTAAATTAATACAACTTTTGTAAAAAATTTCAGAGTCCTGTTGTTAACTTTGAGCTTCCAATACACTTGGAGCGGTGGTTTCCTCGTCGAATTGTTAGAAGCAAGCGAGAAGAAATTAGAAACTTGATCTTGCAACTTCATCTGCAGCAGCAGAGTGGCAGCAAAAGCTAGCAAGACTCTTCCTAATCTTGGAAAGAAGATTTATGCAAGAAGCCTTTTGTCCCAAAATTTTTGAGTCCGTTCATCAGCATTTGTGCTTTGAATGTTGCAAAGAGGAATTGAGCCTGCAGTGGGAAGAAGGGACATTAATGTAAAGTTTTAGAGATGCTCCCCATGTGATGTTTAAAAATAACACTGAGTGCTGCTGGAAATATCATTCCTATGTCTTAACATTTGTTATGAAAAACAAATCATATTTTGCTCTGGTGGAGGAGGAGGCAAATGCTACCGATTAGAGATGGTGGGAACTAGAAAACAAACCATGAAGTTCATTAAAAAATCATTGATTTGCATTCGTGAAAACTGACAAACCTGAGCCGACCCAAACCATAAACTTTTTTTTAATGTTTTAATGAATTTCCTGGTTTGTTCCCCCCTCACTCCCACAGCCTGGCCCTCCCCGCTGCCCCTGTTACCTCTCTACCTACTCCTCCTCTTCATCTTCCATCTTGAGAGACAGCAGGCCTGTCTTCCCTTCCAGAGCTGGGCCTGCCATTCCTATGCACTCCCCCACCTATCAGCAATGCTGGATCACCCATTTGCAGCTGCACAGCCTGCCCCACCCACTTCCCTTCCCCCATTGCCTCCCTACCTGATCCTGCCCCATTGCCTCCCTACCTGAGCCTGCCACCTCCTCCTCCATTGTCGTTCCAGCTGCAACTGAAACAAATGAGTGGCCCCAGCCAGCCTTTTATCTGGCCTGCCCATTCGCTTCCGATCACAGCTGTAACAATGGATAAGGAGAAGGCCCAGGTCCAGCCAAGCCACTGTCTCTGCACATGCCCACGTTGGTAAGCTGGTAGCCGGTTGCATGCACAAAGACAGCAGGCTCTCCTCCTCCATTGTCATTCCAGCTGCAACTGAAACAAATGAGTGGCCCCAGCCAGCCTTTTATCTGGCCTGCCCATTCGCTTCCGATCACAGCTGGAACAATGGATAAGGAGAAGGCCCAGGTCCAGCCAAGCCACTGTCTCTGCACATGCCCACGTTGGTAAGCTGGTAGCCGGTTGCATGCACAAAGACAGCAGGCCCCTCTCCCGGAAGGGAAGCCAGACCTGCTGTCTCTCAAAATGAGAGGTAGAGGTAGAAAAGGAAGAGGCATCAGGACCAGGTAGGGAGGCGACGGGCACAGTGGGAAGGCGGTGGTGGATGCATGGGTGGGGGGGATGAACCAGGAAGTGTGTTAAATTGTTTAAAAAGTTCATGGTTTGAGTGGGTTCGAGTTCATTGCTTCTGGCAAACCCGAACCAATTGTGAATGAACCAACCAATGATTTTTAACCGACTTCCTGGTTAGTTGTTTAGTTTCAGTCAATCTCTGTTCTTGACATATATTGGTTTTTGTCAGAAGTTGATAATGCACAAAAACTTTCTACATTACATTTCTAAAACTCAAGCACAGAATGTGGAAATGTGCTTAAAATGTAAAAATGTAATGTTGGTGGCAGTGGTCATTCTTCCATCATTGACGATCACTTAGATCAGCTTTAGGGCCCCAGTCTTCTGCTATGCAGCTCTTTGTACGAATACTATGTATTTTAATATATATTAATTTACTATTTTAATATATTAGTATAAGGCCTTACGGTCTTTGCTGTACTGACTACAGCTGTAGCTTACAATTGGCAAGTGACAATTGTTGTAGTGCTTTGTAGTATTTATATGGGGGGGTGACGGAAAATTAAAACAAGGCACTTTTACAACAATGCTGTGCCCATAATGGGGAATAAAACCTATACAATACAAAAGACAGAACACAGTAAGGTCTATTGCTATTAATAACCTAAGCAAATTTTATGAAGAGAAAAAGTTTTAAAGCTAGTGCTTTGTTGTTCAAAAGATATTTTTCAAGAAGACTTGAATTCATTCATTTTCATCGGTTTCCTATGTTGACTTAACAGAAGGAATAAGGAAGTTGTACAGTGAATGTTTCTGTTGTTTAGTTCCCATTACATCAATTATTATTTTGTTGCTGTAATTGGAAATAAAAAATTCCTTAAACGAATTTTTCTGCATTTTATTTACAATAGCTCATTGCTGTTTCCTTGGCACTTGACAGAATGCTGCTTGTTGAAATCTTACCTACCATCAAGCACATGTTGTTATGAAATCTGAGTTCATACTGACTTTATCAAGTTTGAAGTAAGCACTGTGTGTAGGCTGGCAAAACCTATGATGGGTCTCAAAACATTAATCATACAACACCTGTTTTATAAAAAAAATGGTCTTGCAGTGCTACATTATAATTTGCAGAAGACCTTGAGCATGGGACACTGATGGAGATCTTATCCCTGAATTATTTATTTATTTATTTATTTATTACTGACTTTATCAAGTTTGAAGTAAGCACTGTGTGTAGGCTGGCAAAACCTATGATGGGTCTCAAAACATTAATCATACAACACCTGTTTTATAAAAAAAATGGTCTTGCAGTGCTACATTATAATTTGCAGAAGACCTTGAGCATGGGACACTGATGGAGATCTTATCCCTGAATTATTTATTTATTTATTTATTTATTTATTTA